AAGTGACAAGACACTTTAATTAAACCGGGTACTACAGTTTTGAAAATGTCTAAAATTTGAAAATTACGTACAAAAATGTGACCTCTTCCAACTCCCACTATTACTTTTCCAATTCAAGTTCTTATAAACATTACAAACAATCTCAAAACTTAGGTAGGTCCAGTTACCTTACATGATATTCCTAAAACACATAAAATTTCACAATGGTCGGTCCTGTAGTTTTGGACATTATACGTCCAATAAAATCACTAACATAGGACACATAAACGAAATAAGGGGACCTATTTTTTTCATACTCTAGGGGCCACGAAATGTCAAGACAATATGAAAATAGTCGTTAGCCGGATGGGCCCAGTTCCAGTATACCTATGTATAGTCGCGGCGAGAATATCGTGGACGTTATTTTTTTGTCATTTTGAAATTTTTGTCGTATGCCTTATTGTCACTTTGACGTTTAGATGTTAGAAGATTTATCACGTTGCATCCAATATCAGCATGCCTGCAAAGTCGAAAATAACAAAACTAACATTGAGGTCCAAGATTTTATGCTCCCGATTGTACCTTCCTAGCTTGATTAATAGAAAACCGAAAAATTCTATCTGCCACGTGTTTCTGCAAAAATTTGCAGTGGAACTTCTTTAGTTGGAACTGAACGAATTACCTTTCTTTTATCTGGAGGTTCAACATCAGGCTTTTTGATCACACTCATTCTATATACCTACTATAGGAAAATCAACACAGTAGAGAAAAGAACCCTTACAGTCCACATTTTTGTTCTAACCCTCAATATGTTTTGAAAATCAGTTGGTTCTATATTAGAATTCGACTTCTCTATGGTCGCGTGTCGTCAAATAAAGAAATATCTTCGTCAAGTAGATTATCTTCAATTATTATCTTCTAATAGAGTTCCTGATCCAGGCGGTGAAAATTCAATTGTTTACGGCTTTTTTGGAGTGTAGAAAGAGTAATGTCAAAAACTGAGGGGTATTGGACGTGAAATGTCAATTATCTGTCAACCCGACTGCATTTAAAATTGTAATGATGCTCTAAAGTATGTATATTCGGTTGCGTACTTAATCCACGAAAATAATGTCTGTTATAAATAAATGTCAAATAACAATTTCAAGATCTGTTCCAAATATATTTGTTATTGTATACCCGTTAGAATAAAATCGACAAATATCTGTGAGACGCTTCAACGATGACTTAAGCTAAATATGTTTTAAATAATATTTAGACTGGACTCAAACATTTAAGGCGTTTATGGCTTTGACGTTTAAAGTACTTTACAGCCGACCTTTCATAAAACTTAGTAAATGTAAACTATGCCACGTGCCAGGGACGGCCGAGACGCGAAGGATCGGACTAAGAGTAATTTTGTTTTTAACGTTTCTTCCGTACCTTAATTATTTAATCATTAGTATTCTGCACATTTGAATATATTATTAAGATACTGAAAGCAAAAAACATAAAATCTTTAATAAGTACGATCGCAATCATAGAAAACTGGTCCACTAAGTTTTTTGTCGGTAAATGCAAAACTCAGTCCTGTCCTGTGCTTTTACCAGAAAAGGTTTTTTCAGGTAGGTATCGGTGAGCGGGTTTAAGACATCCGGCTGTGACGGCCTGTTAAATTATAATGGGAGTCAAATTGGTGTGAAGCCATAAACGCCTTAAATGTTTGAGTCCAGTCTACCTCTTTTATCAGACCACTTCTTGGTGCACTTTTTGTCGTTATTTTGGATGATACATTGAACAGTTTTTTGCATTTGCGTTGACAGATTGAGCACCTAATACGATACGAGGTTATAAGATTCAAAATAAATTTTTAATGTTAAAAAAATGCCCGAACGACTGAATTTCCCACGCCCCTAAAGCGTTTCTTCTGAAAATAATAGAATTTGATATTGTGTCAATTTTTATGATATCCTGTATACATAAAAAAATATGGATAATAGCAGTAACAGTGTAAGAAAAAAAAAGGCTCATAAAGCGTTTGGCAAAAAAATTAGGGACGTCATCTAATTGTGGACAGAGATGATTAGATAAATTTTGGTTAGCATATAAACTTTGAAAACAATCGATCTAGTAGTTTCGAAGATAACCTGTGTAATAAAAGTCGACGCATATGACAGACAGACAGACAGACAGACAGACAGACGGAAATGCGAGACCTACTATTTCGTACTTTAGGGGCATGAGACATTGAGAAAACATAAATTAGCCGTTCACCGGATACACCGACCTTACTATAATACTTCTTGCTCGGGAAGTGAACATCAAAACCAAATGTTCTTCTGTACTTAAATGTTGACTTTCTGATTTTTATTATTCGTTTTGATTAAGAAAATAATTAACCTTTTTTTTACGTTATGAAGTATTGTAATAAGGCCTATCGGAAGTTTCATGCCCCTAGAGTACGAAAAAATAGGTCCCCGTTTCCGTCTATCTGTTTGTCTGTATGTGTCGATTTTTATTACACAAATAATCTCCGAAACCTCTGCACCGATTGTGGTCAAATTTTGTATGTGTGTTAAGAATGTTTTGTAGATGGTAAAACGATAATTAAAATTTATCTACTCATCCCTCCCAACACTTTGATGACAACATCTCAAAGTTGTATATAGTAACTGTTACCTAAATTTTATAAAATAACATACTCGTGTATTTTTGGTTTACGAATCCGCCTTGAGTTTTTCCGCTAGCTATCCATTTCAAGACTTTGTTTCCACACCAATACAGAAAATTTACGCCTTGTTACATTAACACTAAACTTATACACTGGTTAAAATAAGATTTTGTTAAAATATATATTGTAAAATTTACGTGTTACTGCCATATCCTGTACCTATACGTATTTTTTAATTAAAATAAATTTATTCGTATGATTCAGAAGCTACAAAAAATCGTCAATTAGTTGCTAATGGTACTCTATTTTTTTTTTTTGTAAAATTTTTATTTTGTGGCAGTACCTAAGCTAGATGTGTAAAACTGAAAATAAGGGTGGATTGTCAAATCACAAATAAAGCAAAATTTACTAATTCTACACATTTCAAATCATATCTACTTAAAATTTTGAGTTGACGTTATCTATTTTTTAAAGGAGATGATAAATAAACAAAATTTTATCAATTCAAATATACCAACTAACTACTATACAGTTAACCTTAAATTTTTTATTATGATAACTGTATGTTTTTGAGAAAATCACCTTAACTACAACTAAAATAAAGATGGATTACTAATTCACAACTGAAATTTTGTGATAACGTCGTTTTTTTTGTAGAAGTAAATACGTAGATTAGGTTGGATACAATGTAACATCAATAAATACAATTATGTGCCTAAGCAATTTGTTTTTCAATCGATATAGAACTTTCTGTTAGGAATATGTTATTATAACTAACATAACAGACTTATTTTGCGAAAATGAGACGATTGGGTTAATTTTTCACATTTTGGCGTTTGTAGATTCAAGAAATTCGTTAAAAAACTGCAGAAATATGAATTTTCAAGCTTTTTATTGTGTTCTCTAGCCTTTTGGACACACAATGGTCCCGAAAATATCAAGGAAACCATCAAATTTTTGTTAGAAATTTTATTCGAAGTTCTGAAGTATATTTGGACTTGTTTTTAAGATTCTAGTATTCCATTCCAGAAGATGTACAGAGATTAGTAAATATTCGTGTTTGTTTACTTAATAATTTTTTGAGATAAATTAATCAATTTCCCGGAAAGGATAAACATATAAATTTTAACGAAGTCCTGTAATCACTAAATCATGTTTAGTGGTTGTTCAAGGTGTCAAAAGGGTAAATTTTAAAAATTTTATTTATTTTACGAAAACCTGTACCTATCCGTAGGTAAAGTTAAAAGTATAGATGCATTAGAAGAGCCCTTCTGTTGCATTTAAAGTATAGATGCAGTGTATATTTGAAATATAAAGGAAATTTATTTAGCAAAATTTTTAGATGATGTCATCAAATTTTGGGTGAGGAAAAAAGTATTAGCCAGCGTTCAATAATCTATAGGTTTTAGGGTTTTCAAGTATGCTTAAAGTGTACTCCCAAAATTTCACAAAAATTAATCCTATTGTTTCAAAATACAGCCCTGACCCGACCTGATCTGATCTGACCTGACCTGACCTGACCTTAGAAAAAGATATTTTGAAGGGGTGGTTGAGACTGAGAATTGTAGGTAAATGTTGCACAGGTTTCTGTTCTATGCAAACGAAACTAAAATTTAGTCTAATAAAACAAAGTGAAAATAACGTTATTTTCACTTTGTTTTATACGTGTTGTACAGTTTTTTTTTAATATAAGTATATTATTAGAACTATTTTCAAAAAATGCTAGTTTTCCTATACCTTGTTTACTACAACAAAAATAAAATTTTGTGAAACTGAAACCACGGGTTGGTTCTTGATTTAAATTGTAAACTTTTCAACATCTTATGAGGCTAGTTTCTACCTTAACTAATGTTACATTATGTCACTAATGCAGAAAAAAATCAAACAACCCTCAGCAGAAGGTAGGTATTAGTTTTTTACTGTGAAGTTAAACACTGACAACTTAAAGTAGCAACGTATTCAATGGCAATAATCCCTTTCGAAAAATAAATCAACTCTTTGTTTTTATTTAAAAATTGTTATGATTCTAAGCAAAAATAATAATTTATGGGTAAAACGAAGATGAGTCGAAAATTTTGCACGAAACATGTAGATTCTAATACAATTACTGCCCAATAATATATTTTACTGAAAACATAGACTTCTCTTACAACGTATTTTATCGAACAAGTTATTTGGTTTATTTAAAAGATGTTCCCTTTAAGAAAGTTTTATAGTTTACTAAATAGAAGTTAGACTATGTCGATAACAACCACCGTATTGATTTCTAATTTGTTTATTTTCCCCACATATACCCACAATGTTATTTTTTCACCACACACAAAAATTGATTGATAGGAAGTTTAACAAAACAGCAAATATATTGACTCACCTGTATCCGATCTTCCGGTAAATCTGTTTTCAGGCTGAGCATTTCCCTGGCGTAAACGTCCGGATAGTGTGCATCTTTGAAGGCCTTCTCCAGTTCTTCCAGTTGGTAGCTCGTGAAAATCGTCCTGCCACACACCCACCAAGGGTAGTTAAATATGTAACACAGTGTTCTAGTCTAACTAAACATAGCACTTGACACCTTTACGATCTTCGAATGATTAAACTTTCAACAAACAAGAAATTATTTCGTCACTCACTCTAAAGATGTTAAGTCAAAAATTGAAGAGGGCGAAAGAAATTCTTTTGCTTATCGTTAATACATAATGAGGTTTAAATTGAAGAGTAATAATCCTGAAATGTGCGGTATTTGAGCCAATGTAAAAAGACCTGTAAAGAATCTGTTACATGTTGGTATTATTTTTGTAATATTTTTAGTTTTATCTTAAGAGTTTTAGCAAACGTACGATTAAAATAAGTAGTTACCTATGACGCCTCTTCTTTTTCTTCTTTTTATTAAAGCTTCCTATACCATCTGTCATCGAAAAGTCTTTGGAATTGTCTAACTGTCCTGCAACAAAAATTTTCTTTTTAGATGTTAGTGTAGGATTCTTGAAATTAACAGAGGGTAGGAGAAAATGGCATTTAAACGTTCTGTATAATAATGACACAGTAATGTTCTTAACAGGAACAAAAAGAATATAGTTTTTACTAATTTACCTCTGAAAAATACGTTCAGCAGATAAAATGATTTCTGCGCTGAACCAGAAGCTACTTTGAAATAAAGTGAATTTCCAAGCGCTCTTCGCAATTACCTAGGGTTGCGGTATTCTTTATTGGAAATTCCAAAGCTAGTCAGTTAATTTCGAAAGCAGAATGAGTATAAAATCCCTCTCCCTAAATGCCCTAAATAGCTTTAGCGCCATCTTAATTCACTTAACATTCCCGTCTGCACGCGATACGCTTCTATGCCTTGAACCACTCCGCATTATTATTACCACTTTCATAAAATTATGCCCGCTGTCCACATTCCCTCCCCCGTAAAAAAAGGATTGATTTACGCCCAGTGTTGCCAGCAAAAATAAAAAACCCAAATTGTGTAATTTAACCGCAACCATCACCAGATAAGGGTAGTAGTAATCGGGCGTTGACTGTACTGACTTATGAAATACCATAGGGCCATTAGCGCAATTTATGGACGACAGACCCGTTGATTGCCCATACCCTGTTTGCGTTCACCCCTTCTACATCCCGAAAATACTTAATAACTTTACAGATAAATTAACCGCTGTCCTTTTCCGCGAAACTCGCCCTAAATTAACGACGGATCAAATTAAAAAATTTCAGACGAGTCGCTTTTCGAAAACTGGATTTATTGTGAGAAGAGGCTGTCAGCTGCGTCGCGATCATGGCGCGGGGGCTGTGCGTGCCCCCCGGGGAGGGGGCGGACGTACCCCCGGGGAAATGGCTGCACTTCACTTGGGTATAATTGAATTTTCAAACCGGTAGATTATTGGGCAGGAGATTGCTCCAGCGTCCCTGTGTTGATTAGTTATTTCGTTTCGTTTTCTGGATTACGACATATGGGTAATTTTAAACTTGGGTAAACTTCGATTTCTTATTCCGACGTCTTTGCGCTTATTTGTATCGATCTCAGGAGCGAATTAAATGTACACACAAGTTGTTCAGATAAGTAGTGAAAAATGTGTTTACATAGAACTGGCAGTTTGCGTTATATGCACTTACTGATTTCGTTGGGGGTGACCTAATTTGACACCACCTTTACTTTATATTAAACACAGTCAGGCAAATGTCAAAGACCATTTAGATGATTTATGTTCTTATCAAAAACGCTATAAATTTCGAAAATATTTACAAAAAAATGTTGCCTCTTAAAAATTAGGTATCGCTACATAATAATTATCTAATACGTAGAAATTATACACTTCTATTATATTTGTGAGTTGTGATTTTGTTATTTCATAACTGACATTTCTTTTTTGCGATTTAACTCTATGACTAAAACATTATTATTTTGTTCATGCAAATTTTTACAGAGTGTTTAGGATAAAATGTCATTAACATAACAGTATGAGTGATCCCTATTTTTCTCACAATACTCGATTTATATAACAACATGATTGCGACTATCGTTCATACCTATTTTATTGATTCGATAGTTTTATTGAGCAAGTTGACACATATTTCGTGTTATGTTGTGAAAAATTATAGCATTTTCAACAAATAACATGGAGAATAGAAAGTTTTGCTTCATTTGGAATAGAATAGAATAGTTGCATTGAGTAGGATGGAATAAAATCGAATAGGACAAAATAGGACACAATCGGATAGAATAGGACAGAATAGAAGATTATAGGACAGAATACAATAGGACAGAATTAGATAAAATAGAAGAGAATAGGGTAGAATGGGATAGAAAAAAATAGAGTAGAATAAAACGTTGTATAAAAAAAAAATATTTCGACAGCACTTAAAGTATAGTCCAATAAATCTCGCTTCTTTGAAAAGTCATAAAATTGAATTTTGCGATTTTTGTTTTGTGATAACCGTTATAAAATAAAAATCAGTAGCGTAAATAACACCCCCGCAACCCTTGCGCCGCGAGAACTCAAATTTCAGGGGTGCGCGGTCAACATGCTTAACTTCGATTGTTTATGTTCATACTTCATGCGACTATTAGTACGTTCCGCAGCGGCATTTATGTTAAAAAAAATGACACGCATGGGAGAGGACTAATTAATTAGTTAATTAATTTCCCAAAAAACTGAATATCTAGCGTAAACTCTCATGAATTTGAAGAACATCTATTGGGTTACTTTATAAGATGACGTATTATTTTTTGAATGGGGGCATAAACGAACCAATTGTAATTAATATTGATTATATTAATCTTAAATGTTTGTAAAATTTCACATCACTCGGTTTTGCAATTTTTTTTGTTATAAAATTTTGATTATACCTATCCCAAAAATTTGGACGCCTAGGGTAAAAACTCAACACGAATTCATTAATCACCCATGTCAGAGTAGTTATTTTATAAAATTTTAATAACATTTACCAATGTAAATTTTGGAGATGACGTCATCCTATTGTTGGTGGGGATGACTAGTCAAATTTTGGTTATTTTTTTACCATTTATACGGTATTCCTAATATAAACATAAAATTTGACAACAATCGGTCCGGTAGTTTCGGAAATAATCTGTCTAATAAAAATCTACTGTTGGGGCCATGAAACGTCGAGAAAACATGAAAGTAGCTTACGCTCAAGAAGTAAAAAATATACAAAAGGTTAGAAAACCCCTTCTTACGTACGGGATATATCGACTACATGAAACACGTGGCTAATATTGTATAAATATTTTGTTAAAGTAAAATCAAGGTGGATTCATAAACCATAGACACAGGAATATGTTATTTTATGAAATTTAAGCAGTACTTATTAAGCAAAATGTTGACGCGATATCATCACATTGATGGTGGGGATGATGAGATAAATTTTTGTTAGCGTTTTACCTTTTTTTATATCAACACGATATTCCTAAGATACCTATAAAACTAATACAGGCGGCAGATGGCAGACAGACGGCAGATGGCAGACAGACGGCACACGGCAGACTACAGACAGATCGACGGAAACGGAAGACCTATTATTTCGTACTCTAGGAGTCATAAAACGTCCAGAAACATAAAAGTAGCTATTTGTTGGATCGAACGAACGAAGGAATAGTTACGTTAATGTTTTCTCGGTATTTCATGGGCTCTAGAGTACGCGTTTCCGTCTCTTTATCGTTTGTCTGTTTCTGTCGATTTTTTTTAGACAGATAATCTGGGAAACTACTGGACTGATTGTTGTCAAATTTTATATGTGGGTATGTTAGGAATATCGTGTAGATATGATAAAATGTGCCAAAATTTGCCTAGTCATCTCCACCTACAATTTGGTGACTTCCCCTCAACATTTTTTTCTAAAGACCATTTAAATTTTATTAAATAACATTACTCTTGTACCTGTGATTTATAAATCCGCCTTGAGTTTTTACCCTGGGCATCCAAATTTTCGCAAAAATGTCCAAATTTTATAATAAACTTTTACAGTAATAAAAACGACACGGTAACCATATTTTCGATGGCATCCTCGACTTGGCCTTTTTTTCTATAACTGTGATTCTCATTATCTACATTTTTTTAATTAAAAATAGACGTTATCAAAAAATAAGGATTTATGATTATTTATTGTACTGTACTTCAAGAGCAAAAAAAATTCTGTCGAAATAACCTAATCTAATATTAGTCCGAGAAAACATACAGAGTAAGTATTTATCAAAATAGCAAGTAGAGGTATTCTTTCAGAGCAAAATAAAGTTGCTTGTCTTTAACAATAAAAACCGGTGGTCTCCCGTTTCCGTCTGTCTGTCTGGTGTCTGGATCCATTTTTATTAGACAAGTAATCTCTGAAACTACTGGACCGATTGTTGTCATTTTTGTATGTATATTAGGAATATCATGTAGATGGTTAAACGCTAACTAAAATTTGGATAATCATCCCCGCCATCAATGGGATGACGTCATCTCCAAAATTTATAATAAAAAGTTTTTTTTAATTTTACAAAATAAGAATCCGTGTTTAATTTTCACCCTAGACATCCATATTTTTTTGAAAAACTTCTAGTAATTGCCAAAGTGTTCATAGATTGGAAAGACTCTAGAGGGTCTAAAGACTCTAAGGACTCTAAAGGGTCAAAAGATAAAATTCTGTTTCGAATACTTGCTTGAAACTTAGAAATCTTGAAAATATTGGAAAAATTTGAATTTCAAAATTCGGGTATAACTGGAGCCTGATAATTTTAGAGATTTTGGAAAATGTGGAAATTCTGTTCATTTTGTGTACTTAGGAAAATCTGAAAAATTGGGCTAAACCTGGACATTTTGGAGATTTTGAAAATTTTGCAAATTACGAAAATTCCCAAAAAATAAAAGAAAATAAAAAAATATTAAATCTCAAAATTCCAAAGTTTCCAAATGTTTGAAATATTTAAAAGGTTTCAAACCTTTCAAAAATTCTAAAGACTCGACAATTCTAAAAATCTTTTCATACGATAGAATTTGTGAATTGTAAAGGCACCAAAGATGCTAAATTATCTAAAGTTTTAGGTTCTAAATAGAAGAGTCGTTCAACAAAATCTTAAAAATCGTAAAGATCTTAAAAATTACAGATATTATAAAAATTCTAAACTTTATAAAATTTCTAGTAATTTTGAAGTATCCAAAATTGATAAAGATTGTTAAAACTCTAAGGACTCTGAAAACTCCAAAGATTCTAAATACTCTAAGGACTCAAACGTTATAAAGGTTTTTAAAATTCTGTTCCTAATATTTCAAAGATTCTATAATTTGTAAAAAACGCATGAACTCTTAACATGACAAGAGATTCTAAAGATTTCAGAGATTCCAAAAATTTCAAAGATTTAAAGACTCTTGGGTCTATCAATTTTAGAAAACCTGGAAACATTTAGAAGGTGTGAAAAATCTGGAAGACCTAGAAGTCATG